ATGCTTACAGGGAGCCAAGGTTAAGTTTTCAGGAACTTTGAAGGTCTGTTAGTAAACTCTTAAATTATTACTTGTCAGATTACATAAATAATTACATTACAAAGATTAAATATCAAAATGAATTGTTCTTTCTGTTAGCTACATTGCCCAATAATTATTGTTTTCTTGAGGATAATTGTGTTTATGTATCTACAGGTCATAAACACTATGTGATTGTCTGCTCCTGGACACTTCTTCTCAGCTTTGCTTCCAGAGATGTCAGAGAGACAATTTGAAAGCCGTCTTGCTGGAGATACATACATATGCCAGGGGTGATGGCAAGTGCCAGCAGTAAAAAAGCCGGTTGTTAAAGCACTTACCATCCTGCCATTGATTTGCCATGCAAAGGAGTTTGATCTTGTTCCAGAGAAAGAAAAGCACCAGATCTTAGCTGGGTAAAAGGAACGAGACTAACGCTATCTGCTCTTGCAGAGTTCATGCTGCTGCCATGAACCGCAGAAGGACGCACAGGCAGGGTAGCTTACAAAGGAGAGAGATGATAAAGTGTGATCCGGTTGCTTTGAGAGTCCTCTGATCCATGGAGTTCACTGGGCTGTTGTTTTATTGGTCTGGCGCTCAGGTAGAAATATGCTTGAGTCACCCGCTTGCAGGCAGTAGTTAAACCCATAAACCCGGTGATGCTGCTCAAGGAAGCAACATGAAAAGAGCACCAAGGGCAGAACTACAGGAAAATTAGCATGACAAGCTGGGCAAGGAGAGGGGAGGACTGGGGAACTCAGCGATGTTGGAGGATAAATGATGCCAAGTCCAATCTCATCCGTGATTTGAAAGAAAACGGCTGGTACACCTGCTGAGGATTTCAAGACAGTATATTCTATCTACAAGGTACAGACACACGACTCTTATGACAGAGAACCTAGGAACTAGCAACCGAGAAAAAGAGGGATGGGGCTGAGTCAAGGGCTTCCTAGAGAAACTGACAGGCCCCAGAGGCCTCAGACCTTGTGCACTGAAGACAGCTATGAATGAGAACCAAGTGAACTTCTTTAGTTAGGTGGAGAAAGTTAAGCTATCAGTATCTTCCTGAAAATTCAGTATAACAAAGATAAAATGAAAAATAATATATTCCCTCAAATGTACATTTAATTTAAAAACTTGCTTGCATTTTTTCTAGATATAGTCTTTATAACGTATTTTTTCATAAAGCAAGGAATTCAAGTACTGCCTTCTGGCATCCCCTGGCACTTGTATGCATGCGTTGCACATGAATTCATGCAGGTACGCACACATGAACAGGAAAACTACCTTTAGATCTCCAAAACAGATGGTTGGTCCTCCATTTCTAAAGATTCTGCATTCAAGATCCAACTAAAAATATAAAGAACAGCAACAAAAACAAAAACAAACAAAAACAGAAACAAAAAAATCAAGTCAAATCAGACCCCTGTCTGGAGCCTGGCATAGCAGTACAGTGAATGTCTGTAATCCCAGGATTAGAAGGTTGAAGCAGGACCACGAGTTTGAAGCCATCCTGAGGCAGGGAAGGGGAAGGGAAAGAAGAGGTATTATATCTTGAAAATGTACGTTTCCTTATTGTCCCTTAAGAGATACAGCCTAAGAATCATTTGTCTTGGCGCTGTGTTGGTCTAAGTACTCTAGAAATGAAGTGTTCTGGGTGATGCGCATGTGTTCTGGGTGATGCGCAGGCACTATGTAAACAGTTCTCTGTCCTCCCTGAGGGACTTAAGTCTTTTGCAATTTTGATAGCCTCAGCGGGAGCTGGAACTAATCTCTGAAATAGCAAAACATGGCTGTAGTTAATGCTCACTTACTCTTTTTCCTTCTAGAAAATGAGTTTATGCTTTTTCCTTCTCTTCTTTTGTTTTGAGACAGGGTTTCTCTGGGTAGTCCTGGCTGTCTTAGAATTCGCTCTGTAGATCAGGTTAGTCTTGAACTCAGAGACTCACCTGCTTCTGCCTCTCAAGTGGCATACATGTAAAGGACCACTCAGTGCTCTTTTTCAACTCTCCCGAATCCATTTGGCATCCTCACTCCAGGGACTGTCCTAGGAAGGGTAGCGCTTTTCCAGCTCTATCACCATCCTTACAAAATGCAGCCTTACTCAGGGCGCTTTCTTCCCCTGGCTTCTCACTGGCTGCTTAGAGACCTGCATACTGTATAGATTTGCATCAGGAATATTTCAAAGGCATACATCTTTGATTAGCATTCCTGTTCTTGATAATTTGCCATATCCATTCTCATTGTCCATGTTCAAATTGTTTAGTAGGTGCATGCCACTTAGAAAATCACACTGAAATTCAAGATAAGGCAGATGGAGCTGCTGTGTGTTCACACATTTCACATGCCATTGCATACACAGCACAGAGCAATTCAGAAAAAAGAATGGCCTGAGTATAAAACACACACACACATGGAGAGAGAGAGAGAGAGAGAGAGAGAGAGAGAGAGAGAGAGAGAGAGTCAATAATGGGCTACCACACACTGAACCCTATTAATTTTTTATTGAAAATATTTTTTTTTTCATACGGTATATTCTGATCACAGTTTCTCCTCCCCATCACTTCCTAGATCCACATCTAATTCCATACTCCCCTTCTCTCACTCTCTCTTTGGAAAACAGGCAAATTAAAAAAAATCCAGAATAATAAACAAAAATAAAAAAAAGCACAAGAAACACACATATCAAACACAGGCACACAAAATAAAGTTAGAAAAATACAAAATTGGAAACCACAATATACAATCAAAAGCCCAGCAAGATAAAAAATGCCAAACAAAATAATAGGAAACAATCTACAAAATTATCATTGAGATTGGCTTGTGTTGGCCATCTATGCTGGGCATGGGACCTATACTTAAGTGTGGTTTACATACCCGGTGAGATTACATTGGAGAAAATGGATTTTTCCTTTGCAATCAGTTATCAATTGAAGACAGCTTCCTGGTTGGGGATGAGAGCTCATGTCCACTTCTTCTTCCACCCACCCAGTGCTGAGACCCTGTGCATACTACCATGGTTTCTAAATTGTTTTATAAGTCAATCCTGCTGTGTCTACAAGACAGTCTCCTTGGTGAAATTTGTTCCATCTGACTCTTACAATCTTTCTACCTTCTCTTCCAAAATAATTGCCCAAGCTCTGAAGAGAGGGGTCTGATGAAGACACCCATTTTAGGACTGTGTTCTAAAATCTATTACTCTCTGTACATTGTGCAGTTGTGGGTCTCTTTAATAGCAACTCTCTACTGGAAGTGGAAGCTTCTCGGCTGATGGCTGAGCACTTACCAATGGGACTAGCAGAATGTCATTAGGAGTCATTTTGTTGCTATGTTCCTTTAGCAGAACAATAGCTTAATTTTCCCCTAGACACATGGCCTATGTAGTCTCAGGTTCTTGGTCACTTGAGCAGTGTTAGTCATGGCTTCTATCTCTTGGAATAGGCCTTACATCCAGTCAGAGTAGTTGGTTACTCCCATATTTGTGCCACTATTGTCCCGGTGTATCACGTTGGTAGATCTCTGTTGTAATTTACAGGGTTTGTAGCTGAGCTGATAGTTTACCTATTTTGGTAGTGTGCAACGCAGCCTCCAGTACCACAAACACGAGTCAATAGAGATGAAGGCTCCAGCTAGGAGCCAGTTCAACTTCTCCATGTTCAAAGAACTATGTAGGTGCTGGCCATAGTGGGAGTCCCTGAAACCCAAGTTCCCAGACAGCCAACAGCCAACTCATAAAGTATGTTTTTCAGGAGGATCTACCCACCAGCTCTACCACTTTCCTGCACAGGAATTTTAGCAACCTTTTCCAATGGCTATAAATACTCATTTCTTAAACTGTCCTTTGAACCAGGTTTACCATCTGCTGACTCACTCATTTATAAGTCTTTATATACTCACTTTACTAGTCATGTGTTCAACTTAATAACTTAGACATAATTCATGAAGACTACAGTCTAGCCAAAATTAGTAACTAAAAAAACCACAACTTAATATAAAGGCTAATATATATCAATATCAGTATCCCAGTGGCTATTAAGAAGCATGCTTTATACTAGCTTTTCTGTTGCTTTACTGACCACACTTCTGCCACTTCTAACTCAGGTAATCACACGGCTTTACACTTAACGCAGACTGGTAGAAAGTATTCTCGAAAACAGGACTAATACAAAAAGATCATTTTTTTTCACTTCAGTCTTAACAACCATTCTATAAAAATAAATGCATTAGGTGAATACCATTTAAATAGAAGGCATGTTTGCAGGAAAATGGGTAGAAATGAGGTTCTGTAAAGTGAAATACGTTAGGTATGGAAAGTGTGTTTTTTTCTCATACGTAGAATGTAGATTTAAATACAAATATGAGATGGCTGGAGAAAGTAGACTATGTACAGAGAAGGGTCTAAACGGGGAAGGGGAGCACAAAAGGGTAGTGGGAGAGGGAAAGAGAACTCTCTTATGTTGTCTCTCTCAAATATAGCATAGTATCCTCATTTTTTCCAACTATATTATGTTGTAGACATTTTAGAATCACTTAAAATTTATTGCAATAAACATCTTTGTTGTGGGAGAGAGGGCCTGCTTTTCGCCCCAGCCACCCAGATAGCTTACACCCAAAATAATCACACAGAAATTGTACTAATTAAATCACTGCCTGGCCCATTAGCTCTAACCTCTTATTGGCTAACTCTCACATCTTGATTCAACCCATTTCTAATAATCTGTATGTCACCAAGAGGTCGTGGCTTATCGGGAAAGATTCAGCATGTCTGACCTGGCATCTCCATGGCGGCTCACTCTCACTCTCTCCTTCCCAGCATTCAGTTCTGTCTACTCTGTCTACCTAAGGGCTGTCCCATCAAAGGGCCAAAGCAGTTTCTTTATTCAACCAATGAGAGCAACACATAGACAGAAAAACCTCCTACACCACATCTTCCTCTATTTTGTGAGTTGCATTTTAAAATCAGAGTTTTACAAACTTCCATATATAATGGTACCAAACAAAAACCAAAATATTCAAGCTTTATTGTAGTAGAAGGGAACACAAGTGCTGGCACCGCTAAAGTATGCATAAGAAAGGTAAATAACTCTTGAATAAAAAAATAGGTACTACTTTAATGGGAAAAATATCAACGATAAAAGGAAGGAAAAATTTTCCAAACAGCAGCTAATACTTTTGTCACAATTTGTGTAGCTGTGCAAAGACATCATTAAATAAATACTTATTGGGTATTTACAAAATAAAAGAGATAAACCCTAATGTATCTGGGTCTTTGATTTACTATCATTCTTTCAATCTTCTGGGTGCATTAGAGTGCATAGCAATCACAAGTGTGATTCTAGTGAACTACAGTTGACAGCTTGTCAATCAAGTCATCAATAGTGCAAACAAGCAGATGAATATCTGCTTTTTCCTTCATCCTGTGGTCACCGTCTTTCCGAAGGATGACATCTACATCTGGGCCGACAATTCGGTCAGCGACCTGCAGAGACGTGTGCCAAGGCATTATGTTGTCCTTCATGCCATGGAGCAAGCGCACAGGGCAGGTCACAGGAATGGGGCTATGTAACAAGCAGTGGTGTTCCGCTTCTTTAATGAAACTGTATGGAACGTGGTAAAATCCTTCTTCGTTGTATTTAGATGGTAAGGTCCACTCCCCTTTCACTTCTATTTCCTTTTGCGCCTAGGGGGAAAAATAGAAGCATGAATATAAATAACCCCAGTAGCAGACTTGAAGAGTCTGAGAAAGGCAGTCCTTAAGCGAAAGGACAGAGGCAACACAGGAGCAACAAGAGTGACCATCAAACATTGGGCACACACTTTTAATCTCAGCACCAGGCAGAGGCAGGTGGATCTGTCAGTTTGAGGCCAGTCTGTTCTACAATTTCAAGTTCTAGGCCAACCAGAGTAACATAGAGAGACCCCATCAAAACAAAACAAAAATTAATTACTACATGCAAGGCACATAATTACTCTACTTTTATAAAGGAAATAAGGCTTACGGTTAAAAGTCATAGTCAATGTCCAAAGACAGAACTGTTTGAGCTAGCAATCAACATTACAAGTTTTTTTTTAAAAGATTCAGTTATTTATTATGTATACAACATTCTGCTTCCATGTATGCCCGCACGCCAGAAGAAGGCGATAGATCTCATTATAGATGGTTGTGAGCCACCATGTGGTTGCTGAGAATTGAACTCAGGAACTCTGGAAGAGCAGCCAGCACTCTTAACCACTGAGCCATCTCTCCAGCCCCCCATATATGTTCTTATATTAAGGTCTACTTTACCCCAACTTGAAAGGGAAGCTGGAAGGGGAGAATAGTACAGCAATTTCTGGATATTGGTCCCAAGACAGTGATGTTTATACAAAGCAAATCTTAGAGTAATTGTTTTTGAAATTTCAAAACAATTACATAATTTAGGTTGAAAGAAAGTTTTAAAACTGCATAGCTTCTATCTGTCAACATTCTAGGGATGAGAATTTACTGGTTTTTGGATAACACATTAAGAAGCCTTAGAAATGCTCATGAAAGCTAAACAATAATACTTCTATAGAGTCTGATAAAATAAAACATTAACATATTATTTGAGCATTTTTATATTATTTGTGATCAATAATTTTTCTAATTAAAAATTGGAATTTTTGGGCTGGAGGAATGGCTCAGCAGTTAAAAATGCTTCCAGATCTTGTATAAGACCCAGCTAGGTTCTCAGAACCCACAATGGGCACCTCATGGTCTGTAACTCTAGCTCCAAGGGATCTGACATCCTCTTTAGGCCTTCATGGGCACCACGCTAACTGCACATACCTGCACACATATGCACTAGCACACACACAGTTAAAAATAAAATTTTTCAAAAATTGGAATTTTCTATGAAAAATAGAAAACACATAAAAGAACATTAAAAATCACTATAATCCCACCTTATGGCTATTTCATTATTATTCTGATTCATTTTCTTCCAATAGTTTTCCAAATGTTTTTAAAAGTTTATAACATGTAAAACATATTATCAATTATATATTTACATAGTTTTCTATGCTTTTTACTTATTTAGTACATGTATTTTTTTAAACTTCCAAAAAAGATTTTAAATGCTTACAAATTCCTATTTCCACAGTTTTGAAAAAAAAAATCAATAAAATTTTGTAAATCTTGTTAGTATCACAAATGCAAAACAAGCTTTTTTTTTTTTTTTTTTTGGGTTTTCGAGACAGGGTTTCTCCGTAGCTTTTTTGGTTCCTGTCCTGGAACTAGCTCTTGTAGACCAGGCTGGCCTCGAACTCACAGAGATCCGCCTGCCTCTGCCTCCCGAGTACTGGGATTAAAGGCGTGCGCCACCACCGCCTGGCTCAAAACAAGCTTTTAAAGCAAAAATGATAGGTATCTTTTGACGGAGGCCGCTTGTTCATTCTCAGCTGCCCAGTACATGAAACAATAGCTCAGAAACTATATTATTTGCATAATTTGGCTAATAGCTTAAGCGTATTTCTGGCTAACTCATATCGTAAATTAGCCCATTTCTGTTAATCTGTGTATCGCCACATTGCTGTGGCTTACCAGCAAGGTACTGGCATGTCTGTCTTCTGTGGCAGTGGCTACAAGGTGGCGTCCACTGACTCCACCTTCTTTCTCCCAGCATTCAGTTTAGTTTTCCCACCTAGCTCTATTCTGCTAAGTCACAGGCCAAAACAGCTTAATTCATTAACCAAGGAAAGCACAGAACAACTTCTCACACCAGTCATTCTCAAGCAACACTGTACTGCACTCCAGTAATGAAAACTTTGTTCTACCTATGCTAATTATGAACATACTCGATTAGTTAAGTTTCATTTTAAGCATCCCTGATCCCCACTTGTTATCTGGCCTCAAACTGAAGGTATATAGTTCATTTGAAGAACAAAGTTTTTTCCAACTAAACTTTAAAAAAGTTTGGCAATAAGTAAGATAGCATTACCCAGAGAATATAGTGATATTTTGTTTGTTTATAACAAATAAAGTTTGCCCGAAGATCAGAGAGCAGAGCTAAGCCACTAGAGCCAGTTAGTGGTGGCACACACCTTTAATCCCAAGACTCAGGGGACAGACAGATCTGTTAATTCAAGGCCACCCTGGGTTACACAAACCTGGTCTTGTCTAAAAGAGAAACAGAGCTCACACAAAGGTAATCCCAGCACTTGGAATCACATGTCTTTAATCCCAGAACTAGGGAAGTGAAGAGAGAAGTGAAACGGCTGGGTGGAGAGAGGACTATAAGGCAGGGGACAGGAGCTCAATGCAGTATAGGCAGTCTGAGGAGCAGTGCAGTCTGAGGTCAGTATCTCCCCTTTGGTCTGAGCATTGGTAGAAGTGAGAACTTTCTAGGGGCTGGCCGCTTTACTTCTCTGATCTTCAGCATTAACTCCTATATCTAATTCGGGACTTTTATTATTAATACCAATTAGAATTTGTGCTACAAGAGAAATCGTATAGGACAGCATGAGTTGTAATCTAAGAAGAAACTTTACCAAGGCAATATGGTTTTTAGCTGCTTAGATTCCAAATGCCTATGAACTTTGAGATCCTCTAAAACATGAAGAAGACAATGATCACAGACAGTTCTTTCTAGATAATAATGAGAAACTCTGCACATAATAGCCCTAAGCTTTGGGAAGTTGGCAAAGCTTCCCACTTTGGCTCTCTTGACACCTTAGGTCTAGTGATGAATGGGGAGGCAGTGTTCTCAGTGTCCCTGTACTTTGTGCTGTTCAGTTTTGCAACAGCTTGACAAAAGCTAATCATTTGGGAAGAGGGTCTGTCAACTGAGAAAATGTCTCCCTAATACTGGCCTACAGGCAAGTCTGTAGGGCCTTTTACTGATCAATAACTGATGATCAGCTCACTGTAGCTGGTGGCAAACCTAAGCAGAAGGTCCTGAATTGTTACGGAAGCATGATGAGTACACCAAGTGCAAGCAAGGAAGAAGCATGTCTCCGTGGCTTTTGCTTCAGTTCCTACATTCAAGTCCTGTCCTGAATTCCCCCAGTGACAGAGTGTGATCTGAGAGTTGTAAGATGAGATAAACCCTTTCTTTCCTCCCTAAGTTGCTTTTGGTCATGGAGTTTTATCTCGGCAATACTAACCCCACCTAAGACATCTTACAATTGATTTTTAATTTCTACCTTATCCACATGCTGAATAATTTAGTTAGATATATGTGCAAAGAGTGTGCATAGATCTTATAATTTACAATAAATCAAAAAAAACAAACAAATAAAGGTGTTTAAGGAACTCATTTTCAAGCTATAATATCCTTGAGAAAATTTCCTATCATGAAAAGCATTGTATTAGTGGGTCAAGAGGTGTTGTGGAATAATCTTTTTGTACACTATGAAGAAATGTTACTCTGATTTGTTTAACAAAAAGCTAAACGGCCAATAGCCAGGCAGGATTTCCGGGGCAGCAATAACTCTGAGAAGAAGGCAAAGTCACCTATGGAGGCAGAGGGAACAGACGTGCAAAAAAAGAGGTAAAAGCCACAAGTCATGTGGCAACACACAGATGAACAGGAATGAATAAATGAAGTTATAAGAACTAGTTAGAAACAAGCCCAAGCTATCTGCTGAGCTTTCATAATTAAAACGAAGTCTCCATGTCGTTTAATTGGGAGCTGGCTGGTCAGACAGAGAAAGACTGGCAACAAGAGCATGAAGCAATGGGTCAGTTTCAGATTCACAAAGAAGAAACTAGGAAAAACTTAAGCAATGAGAAAAAAAAAAAGAGTGAAAAAAATCCAGATATCAGAGACAAGTACAGGGAAGACCAACACTGTAGTTCAGCTCTGACAGAAACTATCAGGACTCTCATGAGGTTAAGTTTATATGCAAGGGTGTAGAACTTCAGGTGACATTCCTCAGGAACACTATCCATTGCTGGCTTACTTAAAAAAAAAAGCACTGTGTGTGTTGCTGATGTATATGCCTGCCTGCTGTATGTACCAGTACACATGCACATGAAGATCAGGAGAGGGGCAGGGGTGTCTTCTATCATTCTCCACTCTCAGTCCTTTTGCAGCTATGTCTAACCTCTGAACTTGATGCTCAAGTTCACTAGCAAGTCTTAGTGATCTTCCTCTTGGAACTGGGCCTGTAGATGTTTATGGGAACACCTGACTTGTTAATAGGGAATAGGATCTTTTTTATTTGTTAGGTAAATGGAATAAAGAAAATAAAGCTAAAAAAGAAAGTATGCAGCATGACTTCATGATGTGGCTCATGATTTGACAGAATGTTTACAAGGAGCCATGAGAAAAGACAAGAGACTGCACAAAAGAGCAGCAAAGACAGATGGTCACTATAGTAAGACAGACACAGCCAGTGCATAACCCCAGAGAAAAGGCAGAAGAATGTCAGAAGGCAGTCACTGGGGTTGCCAAACGGCTCATGACTTACCTCAACAGAAAGTGCACGGAACTGTGTCACCAGGCCATCTGCAGCAGTAGCTATACCGATAAGAGCTGCGACCTTTTCAGGCCGTGCGATTGCAGCATGCAGCATGAGCCATCCACCGAGGCTAGATCCGACCAGTATCTAAAAACAAATATGGACAGCTTTCAACAAGATTCTCATACTAGTCTATAAAGAGAATGGCTGAACAGAAATGTATGGACTTCGTATTTTACATATCCATGTGGATCCTAGACTTTTAATATGGAACACAAAGTAAAATTCAATTATAACTACTGAAACAGTTCTTTGATTTTCTTTTTTGTTTCTCCTGTGTAGTTCTTGCTGTGCTGGAACTTGCTTTGCAGACCAGTCTGGCCTCAAAATTAGAAATCTGCCTACCTCTGCCTCCCAATATACCTTTTGCAAAGCCATTATGTCTATAATATAGAACTATAAAAACAAACTTTGTTCAATGAAAAGTAAGGTGCTTATTGCTTACTAGAAAGTAAAATAGAACAATTTTAAATCAAATTTGTTTATCAAAATCGTAACTGACAAAATATTATCAGTTGATATGTTACCTGTGGCCCTTCAGCTACATCATCAAGTATAGAGAGGACATCCTTTCTCCACTTCCCCACTGTGCATTCTGCTAAGTTCCCATCTGAATTTCCAATTCCTGAGTAGTCAAACCTGGAAGAAGGGGAAATATATATTTATACCTAAATGTCTGTATTTGGACATTTGTCCATGCCTGCTTCTTTGATTTCTAAAGCAAAGTAGGACATTCTTCATTACTACAGTGACAAAACAACAGCAGAACATCACTCAAGATGCATTCTAGCAACCCCTACTGGTAACTTCCAAGTACCTCTCACGTCAATCATTTTCTTACCTATTCTACTGCTACCCTTAGTACGTTATTATCTCATCTGTCATTGCTGTATTTCATCCTCATAGCCTATGCCCACAGTAAGAATGATCCTTTTAAATGAAATATCAGCATACATGTTTTGTTTATTTAATAAAACTCAAAGCCCTTACCATACTTCCCTGACTACCACTCTGACCTCAGTTTCTAGAGCTCTCTTTCCCTTCCCATTGAATTCTCTCTGTCACTCCTGAAGTTAGAGGGGTGAGCCACTCACATTCCTGCACCATGGACTTTCAGCTCTGCTTGGCATACCTCTACCTCCAGATGTCCATCAGATATCCCTCAAATCACTCCCTCCCTCAGCTCAAACACGGGAGCTCATGAGAAGCTGCTCTCATCATTCCCACACTAGAACTGCTTCTTTCACAGCTCTACACGCTACTACTGTCTTCCTAGCAATTACTGCGTAGGACTAGAATCAACTTCATCATCAACTCTTCCTTCTAAATTTTCCTAGGGGTCCACGTTCAAAGGCTGTCTAATCTCTGAATTTTACCTTTTCTTCAATAAATTATGAAGTACTTTATCATGTCCCCAAGTTATCAAAATCTCCAGTCATTTGGGACAACTCCCAATTCCTGACTGAACCCCTTTATAACTATGAGCTTTTGCATGCTATTCCACTGCCTAGAAAACTCCCCACCAAACTTCTCGCCACTCTTTAAGTCACCTCTCTTCATTTGGAGAACTTTCCTCATTCAGTACCTGTGCTGGAGAGACAGACAGGTGGATCCCAGGAGCTCCCTGGCCAGTCAGTCTAGCCTACTTGACAAGCTTCAAACCAGTGAGAAACCTTGTCTCTGACAACAGGGTGAATGACTCCTGAAAAATAACAACCAAGGTTGTCTCCTGGCTTCCACATGCATGCACACATGCATGCATGGTCATGCTCACACATTTGGAAGGCTGCTTCACACTCACCACTATTACAATGCTACACACAAAAAAAAACTTACTAAAAATCTGTGGTGAAAGGGCTATAGTTCATAAATGCATATTTATATAGCATCCAATATGCAGAAAACTACACTATGCCTGGAACTGGCTATAGCTCAATCTGAAATGGAATTCAAGAACTAGTAAAACAGTGATTTCTATTTTTATGTATGTTTTGCTGTGTGTGTTTCCATGTGAGGGGGTGTACACAGCATATGCACACATCTGCAGGGGCCAGAGGCTGACATCCAGTCTCTTCCTTCATCACTCCTCCACCTTATACACTGAATCAGAGGCTCACTTTGCAGCTAGTCTGGCTAACCAGCTTGCTTAGGAGATTCCCTTCTCTGCCTTAGAAATGTACCAGGGATTCCTGGTGGGCGGCCTCACCCACCCTGCTCTTCCGTGGGCTGGATTCAAAGAGCCCACACTTGCGCAGAAAGCGCTTTATTCACTGAGCCATCTGCCCAGTCCTAAAATGCTCTTTTTTTTTTTTTTTTTTTTTTTTTTTTTTTTTTTTTTTTTTTTTTTTT